ATGTATATTTTTGAATATAAACCTTCACTGTATAACTCCATATTCACCTGGTGCTGTTCGTGTCATGCTGGTGAAAAGTGTTGCTCAATGACTTATGACAAATAACTGTAATCTATAGCCCCGGATTATAGTTGATATTATGAAATCATACTGTTATCTTCATCTTCAGTATGAAACATAGTATTTTTTGTATTGTCTTGAGATGTACTTTTCGTTCCACAGACGTAATGAATTTTAACCATTATTTCTTGTCGCCTCCATATAGCTGTAACATTACTCAATCAATCACTCACTCTGTTAAACAATTGTATATAGTTGTTCCTGTCTTATTGCATGTAGTTGTTACTGGTTTGGTCAGACGTTTTTCTCTACACCCTCATCGTTCAGATCTGGCAACTCGTCCGCGTCGTCGTCGTCATCATCATCATCATCATCATCATCATTTCAAACTCATGATGTTAACACTCAATGATAATAATAAGAAGAAGAAGAAGAAGAAGAAGAAGAAATACTCCGTACAGATCCCCAACACTCCTTACTCACCTCCTTTACATTGATGACCTTGGACTTCTTGCCAAAGGAGACTCAACTTTCAAAAAGCATATTCTTCTTATCAGAGTCCTTTTGTCATGATATTGGAATGTCATTTACACACGACAAATGCAACATTTTTCATTTGAAACGTGGTAAAGTAGAAGTGGGAGGATCAGTCAGTTTACCTGAGGGAGGAGTTATTGACTATCTCATGGAAGGTCAGGCCTATGCCTACTTTGGGATGCAGGTCAGAGACAAACGAAGGTTCTTGGTGGGTTCGACGATGCAGCCCTTCCTGGGAGCGTCCCATTCGCTGTCAACAACAACAATACATGTACTTCTGTATCAAAATGATATTTTATGTATTTAAGAAACAAACGACGAGTGGGAGTTGTTCATCGTACAATAAAACACTGCAGGGAGAATAAACCAAGAGGGGCGCAGATAAACAACGACCACGAGTCGTTTATTTCTTAGAAGAGACATCAACATCATGTACATCATATTTAAGGATGTTGATAAAATGTACAAGTTATAAACACATTAACCAAACTTTTAATAATGCCGACTCCCTAAATAGAATCCGACCCGAAAATGTCGGACAAGTCCACATTACGAACAGGTAAGTTTGGTATTTCCCGCATATACTCACAATCCTCACGTCGATTAGCTGTACCTTTTCTCCTAATACGGATTGTCATTTTACTCCACTTATGGATGCAATCGTTCGGGCCACTGCGTTTATCGGCATTGTAGCTGCATTTATTGGGAACAACTTACTTGTCACTTCCCTCTCAAAAATAACGGTCGCTATATGGCTGAAATAATGCCGATGCGACGTTAAACTTTAACTCAATCAAAATTAACGTCGTCCAAAACATGACGACATGACGTTGCGAGCGCATATTCGAATCTCCAGAAATGACATCATGATAGAACAATGTGTTATCGGTTTTATTAAACCACGCTTGGTTCATCAATGTTCTTTGTGATTTATCGCGAAGCTGCCTTGTATAAAATGATAACACTTGTATGTCGCTGTACTAATTTAAAAAGCTCTGTGTATGTGTTGAAGTAGACGTTTGATATTAAGAACAACCAACATTTCAAAGATCAAAGAAATCCTTTGAGATGATTAAGATGCAAACATAACACTTCTGTTGACATTTTTCTATTCTATGTTCATGACAAATATTTTTGTAACGATATTGTCCTTTCTTTGAAGTGGGACGCTGCTGTCACCGTAATTTGTGTCACAAACACAGTTTCTTTAGCGACATGATGGCACGACCCGACCCTTTTATTATTGTCTTCGACATGCTTGTGGTTTGGACTCCATCCATGGTACGGCCCGGAATGTATAGAGAGCGTCAGGAATATGAGATGCTTATAAAAGTCTTTGGAATAGGACCGTAAACAGCCTCAGACGTAAACCAGACCAACACACCTGATCTTGTCCTTTTTGATAAATCCAATGAAATCATTTATATCGTTGAATTTTCTGTCCTTTGTGACACTAATGTGATTGACATGATTCAGGAAAGACAAGGCAAATATGCGGACCTCGCTTACGAAATGTCATGCTTTCATCCCAAATACCAAGTTGTCCGACTCCCCATTGTTCTCGGTGCCTTAGTTTCGGTACCTCCCAATCTGTTGTCTGGCAATTGGGAGTACCCGGGTTTGCTTCCAGGAATCCAGCCCTTGTGACAATCTGGTAATGCAGATGGCTGCATTGTTGGGGACACTTCACATACTCCGAAATGTTCTGGGTGGGTTCGACTAGGCAGTGCATCGCTGTCTGGGCTGCGTGTTGAGGGGGTCAAGGATCCTGAACTGATGTTGAGTCTAACCAGCCTGACTGTGCCAGGATCACTCGAGTCCTCATTTCAGCATTTATTTATTTTAACCTTTAAAATATAATCATAATAATAACAACATTTCTATTGTGATTATGATTTGGATTAGGAGTATTCTTATTTGTAGGAACATTTAAAGCAAGCTTTTACTGGCTTCCAAAAAAAACGTTCACCGACAAATACTGTCGCCTTCCCACATGTAACGCACTCATGCTCACTCATGTAACTACTTTCCAGTAAATGAACAAATTGTCTTGGAAGCATTAGGTCATTAGTGAACTCGCCTGATTAATCAGGACTCACCTGAACCCATGAATACCAAGCAGTGAACTTAATTCGGCCGTGTACGAACCGTGTCGTTGCACAATGAAGTGGATGTTTTAAGTTCACGAGAATTTCGTCTGTGGAAGTGTTACAGCCAAATTGAAAGTTAGTGTTGGAAAACTCAGAAGCCAACGAAGCAGGTCTAAGGAAACACCAGTAAAATCAGTCAGCCGTCATAAGGGACATGTATCGTTCATGTGTCGATTCATTTCGGCCCATTAATCGTCGATTCAATAGCTTTGTGATTAACCAGGCTTGAGTAAGCTGACTCGATGTCACATCCAATTTTCGGATTACTAATTGATAGTTTAATACTTTTTTTTGGTACGATCGATATTCGTCTCATGTAACGATGATGTCTTAGAATAGAGCAAATCATTTTTACGTTAACGTAGAACAAAATGTTATAATTATAAAGACATTCCGACCAATCATTTTATGTTGCATAGTAACCCATTTAGGATGCACTGCAGGCACAGTACTCTAAAGCCTCGCAATTCGCTGTGCGAAGCTGCTCCTTAGACGTACCAGGATCCGCTATTCTGGGGTTCAAATAAATACTCCGTCGTGATTATTATCCCTTGTTTGTCTTATCCGTGCACGTTGGATTCACGAATGTGGTAAACGAGACCTGCATCACTCCGGGCTTTCCTCCCACATTGAGCTGACACGCCGTCATATAATTGAAACACTGAGGAAAGTTGACTGTGTTTCTTCGACTGATCTTAGTTTGAATCATCTCAGTCGTATGGCCGCATAACACCACGGTACTGTCACTCTTGTGTCACTTTGTTTAACTTGGCCAGGCAACATTTTAAGTGATAGAACTGCGACCTCCTTTTCAATGTGTTAATTTCATTTACGAAAGGAATTGATATAAAGGCTTCACGCTTTCTCTAGTTTTTCTTCTGGCGGGATCTAAATCAATACTTCATTTATATTAATGGTTCACTTATTAAATATATGGACATTAACTTGGAGCCTAGGGCCAATTTTGAATTGATTTGAATTATGTTCAATCTCATATAGTATTTGTAGGAAAGTTGGATAAAAATGTTTGCAACAGTTTGTAGTCATGTTAAAGACTTTCAAATTGTAAGACTTTCAGAATGTAATATTCACACGGCAAACGTCTATCCACAAATAAGGATTGACATACACATGATTTGATCATTTCGTACTCAGTACTATTTTCTCGCTTTCAAAAGTAATGTTCACTGATGTAAATAATATTTATTTTTCTGTTGCATATTACAATTTTGAATATGTGTTGATTCGATAATGAAAAACAATGGACAGTGATATGATTACAAGCTGCACAAAACTTTACTTTGTTGTGAACCAAACGTTAAAAAACACCTTGATCCAAATTTGTTAAAGAAGTTCGTGTTAGCATATATATTGATCAAGTGTATGAGGTCTTGTAGTGATATTGTGTAAGCTCCTCTGTTTGTAGATGTTGTCTTTCTACATAGTCGACAATAGTACTTATAGTGATATTACGCCAGATTGGATATGATAAGAGTTTCTGTCTGGCAACGTAATTCAGTAGTCGATAGTATGAGGAGATATCCACTGTCCACACCATCGGGGTAGGCGACAAATCCTTGTCAAACATTTTGACCAAATGGCTCACATTTCAGATCAACCCTCAAGCATTCGACACAGCCTTTTCTCGCAAATGTCGGCTAGCGGAGAACAGGGTACCTTTAAAATATATCAATCTGATTCAATTCTAAAAAATATTGTCAAGGCATTAAACGACAAGGTTAATTATTGAAACGAATACATTCAGTGTTTATTACGTGTTGTTTCCAGATTCAGGGAGATTTTCGTAACATTTATTCGATTTGAGTTTCCACCGTAAAACTACATAATCCTTTTTCCGAACAAACAGTCTGGGAGACGCCGCTCAGTTTAAAAGCTTAATCAATGCAAACGCGCTCGTAAATTCACTCCGGTACTTTTAGATTTTAATCAAAATAAACAATCTTGCAATGTTATTGTTATTCTACGGTCAAATCAATTGATAACATCGTAAACTAATCTGTATTCAAATTTTAATCATTATAAACATCTCGTACAATTAATCGGTCACATCACCTACACACAATGAACCACGGCGAAAACACTTACTTCATCAAATAGCCCTAAACATAACATAGACATTTCAGTGAAGTCAATTCAACGCAGCGTGGGACTGTGAACGTTTCACTAACATACGCTTCAATGACTTTGTCACCGTATATCAAAACCTTCAGGCGGCCAACGATTTAGTGACAGTCTGTTCTCTGCACAGTTGTCCCTTGACAATAGTGTGTATCATCAGGTCGTCCTTTCGGAGACGAAAGAAAGCTTCTTTAGGATCAATAAGATCGCACATGGTCTGGTATCGGGGCTATGAAGGGCCCCCACAGCGGACACAACTTGGCCGAGTAACACACACAGATCGCGTAGCAGAAAAGACGGCCCCTTACAGTTCTCCGAAGCTTGGTTACATGGACAGAGCGTTGAGCCCTCACTCATATACCAACATAGCGAGTAGTATTGAAACTGTAGCGTGCGTGCTTGTTGAAGGATAGGAACTGATACATGGAGTATACAAGTGATCTGTGCCATGTAGAGTGTGTGAGCGATGTCATTCAAAAGGAACATCGTTAAGTATTTTCATCTTTTCTGTTTATGTTATGGAACATTTTTAATTCGTTAGAAAACGTAGTTACTGTAAAACCGTTTGTTCGTATCTTCAACAATGTTTATGTGATGGAGATGTCTTAAAGCACACCTTGGAGTATTTCAAAGAGCGTCGTATTGTGCTTGATCTTCATTTCCACGTCAGTAACCTGCATGTTAGGAAGCTGCCTATCTGGGCTTTCATTCGAGCACCTCAGATGTTACATTGGGGAGATGTCTAGGAAAGCATTGCTCGAACCGTGTTGACATTTCATATATCGACTTTACATTTTTGCCACTGATGATGTGCATGTACACCAATTTGTAACAGTTGGGCCGGTGATTGTACAATCTTGTATGCGGATCCTTGAAATTGAATAGACGAGAATAGAGGAAGCTACGCCCCTTGAAGGACTGTTAAATCGCATGTCACCATGGCAGTCACTCGCGACATTGTTCGATGAAACATATGGCGCCTGAACACAGTTGGATTTAATGAAAATTTAAAAAAATCTCCTTTCCCGCCATATGATTTGTCCGGAGTAGTACAGGCGACATATTTATCGTCATAGTTGTTTAATAAATCGTTTGGAATTTTACTTCTCGTTGAATATAATATTTTTTATATTTATAATATTTATATTTATATATTTCTTCAAAATTTGTATATATATCCCGATAATACTAATGTAATCAGAACTGTGTAAATAAATAATATTTGCGTGGGGTGTATATATCAGTATTTATTATCCTATGATAATGTTAGCGTGAGTAAACTTACTCATTCGTGCTGAAATTATACGTGTAACCTAGATCCTTCATTGAATGAACAACAGATGTGAAATCTACATATGTACATTTCGAGTACAATCTATCTATGAACCGAGGCTAATCAAACCGCCACAGCTAGTTATTTAATCAGATGTCAGCCAGGTGCGACATCAGCATTTGTTGCCGTCACCTTACTCTTGTTTCACTCAGTGTGACTTCACGGTGACATATCGACCCAACTTCCCCAACACGCCACCTCCTAGCCAGCCCTGATTCAACCTGTAGAGTGGACATATTCTTTATCAATGCACAATACACGTACAGCGAGCATGACTTGAGTTGAGCGCTGTGTAACCAAGAGCTTCCTGTTTTGAAGGAACCACGTGACGCTTCTTCCTACATAGGCACTAACGGGAGGAACATGACGCCACAAGTTATTTGATGAAAGGATGATTAGCCTAATGCTAGACTAATCTGATGACTGGTAAATTAGAAGAACATATTGATGCGCTGAAGAAGTGACAAGCTTCCACCTTCGGCTGGGTTCTTTCGACTTCAATCATGGGGTGTCTTCTGTATTTCTTGGTTTGGTTGCCTGTTTATTTGTGTATGGAAGTGAAAATTGCAGTGATTTTGCCTTTCGACGACGAACGTATGTTCTCGGTGAGACGAATAGCACCGGCTATTAACCTTGCTATTACCGAAATCAACGATGATAAGACTTTGATGAAGAATCACAAATTCTCCGTCAAATACAACGACTCGAAATGTGACATTGCCGAAGGAATCAACAAAGCTATCAATTTCTACATCAAGAAACAAGCCCACGTGTTCCTTGGACCCGTGTGTGATTTTGCAGTTGCCCCCGTTGGACGACAGGTGTCTTTCTGGAACATACCCGTCATTTCGGGAGGGGCCATGGCTCGGGATTTTAGTGTATACAGATCAACCCAGTACCAGCTTCTTACTAGAGTAGGGCCTGTTAATTCTAGGTCTCTATCGACATTCTTCGCCAAGATGATGTTGCATTACAAGTGGTTGAAGATCAAACTTCTGTATTCAAAGGAGGGACAGGATTATCTCATTAAAGGGCTGTGTCACTTGGCAATAGAGGCATTGCATTACGATCTGGACGCACTGGACCCTAAAATAACTCAGGATTATTTCCGTCTTGACAGTAAAACCAACATGGAGAAATTGTTGAAGGAGGAGATCGGCCTTGATTACTCAGGTAAGAGAGTTTAAGTACACGTTTACTAGAATTGAATAGAATAGAATAGAATAGAATAGATAGACTATGGTTAAGCTTTTAATATGTTTGGCGGGTCAAAGAAAGTTTACACATTTGCAGATCATCTAAATATTATATACATTATTAATGAAGCGTAACGTCCGTGTGCTTGATAACGAATGATGTGTGATAATGTGCTCGATGTCAAATGATATATTCATTTATGCGTCATAAATAATGTGTCCAGTTTAATCTTTGTGAAGATTCATTCATGTTATTACTATGACTAAATTACAGCCTCAGACAGTATTGGTACAATTAATAATAAATTATACCGAGAATGAAACAAATGAATCGCCGAGACAGTACACGTGCATCAAATCCGTTTGTTTAACAACCTACAAACATATACCACAGTGTTAAAATAGACATATACAAGTCAGTGATGTGGCTGGTTTTATTGCCATGACTTATGTGGTGGCATTGGTTATTTTGGATTGTTGTGTGTTTGGGATGAAACATTTCAATACAGACCTAATTTAATACTCCCACTAGATCTACGTCATGAAGACCGTATATATGCATACGTATGAATTTGGAGAAGTAGTGTTTAAATTTTCATTTGATATACGACAAGCGAAATGTCAAATTGTGTCAGAGCGCTTATACATCATGCCTATGTCTATTTAATCCGGCATAAAAAGTTCACTTTTCGTTAAAACACAATACAAAACAACTGAATAAATGATTAACCAATTTAATTTTAAATCGAAAACTAAATTAATGCAATTTTCAGTTCCAAATAAAGTGTAGGTGTCGAACTGTCTGTCCAATACATCAGTGCTTACAGGAATTGATAAAAGAATATTATTATTATAAATCATGAAGTTAACACAGCTTATGCAGTCAGACTGACAAGTACGCAGACATTAGGAAGTAGTATAGACCTTTACATCATTACTATACACCGAACCGATGCATTGATACCCAGATGGAGAAATAAATACCAGTTTTCTGACCGTGTACTCAATAGTTGGAGTATAACGAACGGTTTTATGTTCTTTTGTGTGTTCTCGTATTGCCTCCATTGAAGTTTTATACCTTTTATTCAAGCTACCAACAAAGGTGGGTGCTGACTACAATACTGTTGTCGTATTTATCAATACATAAAACCCAAATGCTGCCAATCCCTGTTAGTTTGAATGATTTAGGGTAGTTTGTGCTTTTCATTTTGTACACATAAAATTTTACGACCTCCAGTCGAAATAGAAATGGCCGTGTTGATGGTTTATTTATGTGTTTACAATTTGCCATGTCGGTCATAAGTCACTTGTACAATCCCTAATACATAGAGACTCACGGCAAGCATATGTGACAGTAACATATCCCGAAAAAATCCAATCAAATTTGTCCGTCGTATAAAATGCTGTATCTTTCTGTTAGTTTTATATTTAGTTAAGAAAGTTTTTTTCTTGAATCTGAATGTATTCAGTAAACGGTTTTGTACCCATTAGTCCTTGATAATCAATCTAATTAGGTCCATTTGTATGATATTCTGCTTTTTGATAATGTAATGAATTGTAGAGGGATAATTACTTTGGAAGTGTAAGCTGGTCTGTATCACTGACTGATATTGACATGCATCTATAAAACTGACTGATATTGACATGCGTCTGTACGACTGACTGATATTGACATGCGTCATTAATACTGACTGATATTGACACGGTCCTTAACACTGATTGGTATTGACACGCATCTTTAACACTGTTATCGACATGCGTCTATATCATTGAGTTATAAGTGGCTGTAGTGAGTTACACACATATTAAAGAGGAGGAACGAGAAATGAAGAGCACGTGAAACAGACGCATGACAGAAAGAACGAAAGAACGAATTTGGATGGGGCTGAAACGAGCATAAAAAAGCGACATGGCAGACACATATAACCACAAAAAAATATATAGGCATGTTAGTGTTCGTACCTTTTTATATGCACTGATGGTTTTACCAAGTGGGAAAATGTATTTTAAACCCTTTTTAAATTAGGCATGTTCCGGAAATTCGTCAGGCGATAGTGTCAATGCATGAAAGACTACTAAATACAATTAATTATCCGTGTCCATTTCCCTCTTGGTGGTATGGTACACGATGCTGGTATATCCGTCAGAACATGTGGTATTGATACATTTCCAAAACGCTTACATTACTGCTGACATCTGCAAATCAAGAGATAGATCTATGTCTGAAAAAGCCCTCCAAAGGAGAAATCTGAATAAACGCTTGTCATTTAATGTAAGCAAACTTGATTTCTAGGGAATTAACGAAGTAAATGAAATTACTGGAACAAGGTGAATCAAACCCACCATCCTTCTCTATGTTGGTGGTGATTATTGCCTTCACACGCTTCTTGATACAAGCTCCTGTGGCCTAGATGGTTCTGTTGGAATACGAAGGCACAGCGCATATATGCCTGGGTGTGTGTTATGCCTGCGAGGCTGAATTAAGCAGTCGTCTTTACAGTGCTTAAGCCTTATTCAGACATCGGCTGAAGATGAGAGACTCTGATAGCCTCAAGAACGGAGGGAACAGAAGGAGCTTTAGTACTCTTAAGATCCGTATATGTGTTGGTGATGATTTGAGCTGGCGATGTAGTAATATTAAAGCTTGTCGAAGCTAACCATAATCTAATTGACGTGTAGTTTGTGATGCAGAACCCACAGTCATATATGTTTGCTTAAAAAGAATGAAAAGAGAACACCATCTGCCTGACAAAAGAAGCAGTGTGTGACATTAATGTAACGGACGTACATAAACTCAACACAAGGATCAATCAGCGATCCAATACTAGTATATGATATAATCAGAGTGAGTGTGTGAATTGGGTTTAAAGCCACTCTAGACAGTATTCCAGTTATATCACGGCTTGTCGACTTCATGTGGTAGGAAATCCCGAAATGATGCAGGTCTTAGAGGTTTTTCACTTTGGTGACATAATTAGTATTACACTAAAAATGTTTGTATTTGTTGAACCAAATGGGTTCGGATTCTGCTTCCTTGCACGTGACTGAGACACGAGTATGTATATCTGTGCTGATATAATGTGACATATTTTCAACATCATGACTGCCAATTGTTAACGTAGACGGTGATGTCACTGAATGTGACGTCATGTTCGAACCGCGACGACGCCCAAATTGCATTGTCATTCTGATCTCAAATGTAGTCATCATGTATCTGGTTTGTTTCGACGTAAATCAAAATACTGCTGTGTCTCGTTATAACAAATATCAAATCCGAAGCTACCTGGATGTCAATCCTGACGTATGTCTGATTTATACAGCAAACAATACACTCACCGGTATAAGTAACAAGATACGCACTTGGTATCATGCTCTAATGTTTCTCTTATACGAGTACCGTTTGATATTTGATTATAGATTATCAACCTTATTTTTCCCGGCGTGCCTTATAGTGATAATACACCATCAATGTATCAAGTTATATGTTAACATACACCTGGTGTCGTGAGTGTTTGACAGTGATTCATACACATCCTTAAAAATATGATGAAGTCGGAATAACAAAATTGGCGCTGCTTTGTAGCAGAGCTTACACACGATTATGGTAATTTTTTCGTCACTTTTTTTGTTTTATTGATTTAAAGGACAATTTGTTTGCGTTAGTGCATTCCTCCATTCAGCATGTGCACAAAAAAATACCTCAGGTAGCTCTGATTTTTATAATTCAACATAGCATCATATGCGAATTACAGAAATAACAAGCGAAAGATGATTTCTTACACTGTAATTATGATCTGTGTAATTCGGTACTTTGCATCTGCTATAATCGATATCCCCCCTTGCCCATCACGCAGTTACGTAGTTACTGCTTTAATCATACAGCCCATTAATTTCATGGTCAGTCGTCAGGGTCACAGCGAGTTCACTTTCGTGTTCATTTCATGTATATTTCATGTGAGTTTAATGGTACATCGGAGATTGCTTTTCACAGCATGGTATCTTCTCGGATTGTACAGATTGTAGTGGGAGCACGGGTGGCCAAGTCATCTAAGGCGCCGCAATTCTATGTGCACCCCAGAAGCCTATGATCTTCAGTTCGAATCCAGGTTCGCCCTGAATATGCTAGTTTTGGCAGCTCCGTGATCGTGGGTTTCACCAAAGTGGTAAACTAGCGCCATGCCAAGACTTACGAATATATAATTATAATAATAATCATCATCATCATCATCATACGACAAAACCCTTTTCATATCCTCTAGAAATCTCTGCTTACTTTATCATGAGCATGCGCTTATGAATCACTATCAAATAATGATGATACGAGTTGTTCCCGAAAACGAGAGCATAACCTGCCCCACTGGTGGCATCAGTCACAAACACATGCAAAGGCAAGTCAACTGTTCACCTGGAAAAACACGGGAACATATGGTACAAGTCAAAATAAGGAAGAGCATCGGACAAAATTGTGTCACTGATATATCAAATTTGGAAAGGTTTCTCCACATGTCTACCTTAAAACTTTTTGAAAGTTTTACTGAAGCCTTGAATGTTGCAACACTCGATCAAACAACTTCTGAGCAAGAGGCGTACGGAACCAAGCTTAAGGACGACTCTTTGCTGTTGGTGACCTGGTATCGTTACTGTAATCTGTAGATGGTTCTCACGTAGACATTAAACGCATTGGCAATGGTTCGTGAAGTCTGGTCAGCATGCAGTTGTCCTAAAGCCTGGTTTCTCTGATTCTTCGTACGACTTAGCATGTCACAAGAATGTTGGATCCACGAATTTGGGTGCCGTTTATCAGAAAGGCACAAGCAAACGCAAGTGAATTTTAATTTCATGGTAAGCATTCGGGACTGTGTATCACGGTCGCATTAAATTTGGATACAGAAGATTGTCAAAAACGAGAGACCTCCTAAAAATGTATTGATATTTTTTAAGAAGTGACGTTTCTTTTGTGGTTCAGCATACACACTA